AAGAAAATACAATAAAATAAAAGGCAGGTCAGGGAAGGACTCTCTGACTGCAGCCTGGTGGGAGCGGACCAGCCTGCCTCGCCCCACGGCTTTGTAATTAGCGGAGTTAATGGGGAAGGTGGAGCCCTGCAATCTCCATCCTTGGAGTGGGGAGGGAGGAGTTCGCCGGTCTCACACCAGCTCCCTTCTTTTGTCTCCGCCGGCTGCAAGGCTCTGCCTCCGCGGGTGCCGGCTGGGGAAGCGCCTTTCCTGTTGACTCGCGGCCGGGCGGCCCTGCACCGCGCGGGGGGAAGCCACAGTTGCCGCCGCCCGGCGGCTGCCTCTGGCCAGCGGTGCACAGCTGGCCGCGCGAGGGGGGACACATATGCCGCGCAGCTGCTTGGAGGGGACCCTTGAGAAAAGCAGCGATGCCCCGGCGGCTTGGGGAGAGGAGGGAGATGCCCTCGCCCCCCAGGGACCCTAGGAAGGGGGAGGGGGGCAGACAGAGCTATGCCCAGGGAGGTGCCAGCTCGAGCCTCGGCGCCTGAACACATGGCAGCTTTGTGTGGCTTGGCTGGGAGCCTTCCAGGGAGCTGTCTCCTTGCCGCTGGCTCTGGGGTTTCTAGTCAGAGAGCAGGCGGCAAGCCCCTGCTGGGCAAGGAGCCGCTCCCTGCCGGGGGAGAAGCACAGTTAGGTGCCATTCAGCTGTGGCTGAGGGACCAGAGCACCCGAGTGGGGAAAAGGATCCCCCCAGACCCGCGCACGATCCCCCCCCCCGGGCGTGACAGGACACGCACGAGCCGCCGGAGCCGCTTCGACTCGCGCAGTCAGGGCCGGCCCGGGAGGAGCCGCGAGCCGCCGGCGGCTCCGGAGGCCAAGGCTCCCCCCGAGGGGGCTCCTCCGAGCTCTCCTCGGGACACTCCTGGCTTCCCGCGATCCCCGCAGCCGCCGAACTTGTGGGGATCTCCCAGGCAAACTTCCCAGCAACAAAGGCAGAGCTGCCAGGCGGGCACCTCGCACGCAAGGAGCCCGCCTCCCGCCCTCCGCGCCGCGCGCCACAGATCCCCCCGACTCCCGCTCTAGTTGGGAGCCCCTTCCCGGCGACAGCATCCGCCGCCTCCCCGTTTAGAAGTCACCTCCTTCTCCTCCTCCCCTTGCCTCTGCATGCAAGAAAGCCAGGGGCTGTGGGACTGACCCCCCCCCCCCCGCCCCATCCGTCCACGCGACTTCTGCCCTAAAAATCATCACAAGCCAAAGCCCTTTCTTCTCCAACTCCCCAGGGCGAGACAATCCTGCAGTTAACACGAAAGCACAAGGGTGAAGTTGCAATAGAGGCTACAATAGGGCAAGGCAATGGAGGCAATGGAGGGGGGCAAGGCAAGGCAATGGGAAGAAAGACGGGTGGGAGGGGAAGGGGGGGATAAATTGACTAGTATCTGAGATACTTTTAGGAGAATAGGGGCGAGCAAGGAAGGGAGGAGAAGCGGGGGGAAAACCCCATGCAAGAGCCTGAATCATTTCAATTGTCCGCCCCGCTTTGCCTTTGTCACATCGCTCCGGATTTTGCATTTACCCGGTGAGTTGTATTCCCCGGTGCTCCTCCGTTCTTGCTATTTCTTTTGTCTTATAAAAGATCAGGAGGATACTTATCGTGCAGACAGTCCACCTCTTCCTGAATGAACGCATGTCTTCTGCGAAACAAGCCCCCTCCCCCTTTTTCTTTTTTTTTTCCTTCCTTCCTTTGTTTGTCGGGGTGCGCAAAAAAACACAACAAAACCCCGAAATCAAATTCGATCAAATGAAATAAAACCCGAGCTCCACAAATGAAACAAAGCGGCAGGAGAGGCTGCTCTTAGGGGGCAGATTTGGCAGGCTGCGCTGGCTGCTGGTGCTGGGCTGGGGGTAGGAGCCCTCCTGGCACTGCCCGGTGCGCTCCCAAGCCTATGGGGCTTTCTGGCTCGCACGTTTCCTTCCAGTTTAGATACCAGCAGCGGCCAGCGCCGGTCTCTGGGGCGTCGCTAGCACCACCCTTTCCCTGGCGGGGAAATGATGAGCAAAGCCCGGCCAATAGGTGGCTAGAGGAGGCGGGGACAGCTGCTCCCCAACTTTAAAACCCGCTTTCTCGGCTAGCTGAGGCTCTCCTGCTGCTGCAGGAGCTGGAGAGGAGAGATCAAGCTAGCTGGGGCTCTCCTGCAACTGGAGGAGGGCTCAAGCTAGCCAGGGCTGCTAGGGAGGAGAGATCAAGCTAGCCGGCACACTCCTGCAGCCGGAGAGAGATCAAGCTAGCCAGTGCTGCTTTGGGAGCTGGAAAGGAGAGAGATCAGGCTAGTTGGGGCTTCTCCTGCAGCTGGAAAGGAGAGATCAGGCTAGCTGCGGCTCTCTTGCAGCTGCAGGAGCTGGAGAGGAGAGAGATCAGGCTAGGGGGGGCTCTCAGGAGCTGGGGAGGAGGGATCAGGTTAGCTCAGCTAAAGTGGCAGTGGTCACGCCTCTCCTCAACCTTTGCCTGGACCTGGAAGGAAAAAGCAGCCTTGTGACCAGCCTGCTTCTACTGGAGCAGTGGTAAGCTTGAAGCAGCCCAAGTTAGCAGCCCTGTGCTCTCTGCGAGGAGCCCCAGTTTCCTAAAGCTGCTTGGCCCTAGCGAAGAACTCTGCTCTTTTCATGCCTGCACAAGGGAGCTGTTGAGGACTGCAATATCATAATCATCATCATAAGTGATATTAGGAAAAAAACTTTCTGGCCAGGAGGGTAGTAAAGCACTGGAACAGGTTACTGAGAGGTGGAATCTCCATCCCTGGAGGTATTTAAAACCTGGGTAGACAGAGCCTTGTTTGGGGAGGAGATATAGATATAGATCATTGCACTACTACCTAGGGGAACAGATATGGAGATCTCCTGGGAATAGCTTCATGTATTAGACGCTATACAGAGATATAGTTTGGGAGGGTCCTGCTTTGACCAGGGCGTTGGACTAGATCTGTTGACTTTCAACCTGTGGTCTGCAGTCTAAGGTGTGAGTAAAAGAAGACTATGTTCAACCAAAGTATGTGAGTACCCGCATTTACAATTCAAAGGGCTCTGTACTTCCATTCAGAATTTTTTAGGGGTCCACAAATGAGAAAAAGGTTGAAAACCAGTGAATTAGATCTCCTAAAGTCTCTAATTTTCTATGATTCTATGAACAGTTTCCTTTGTAAGCGTGCATGTTCATAGTTTCACAGTTGTTTTCATGCACACTTCCTCCCCAAACAGTCCCTCTGCTAGAGGGTGGGGGTAGAATATTTTTTCCGTCTCTTTGAAAGTTTGAGTGAAATCTCTTTAGGAACTTTGCAGTGATGTGTGAGGAAAATATATATTTTTTTCCTAACCCCATATATTTCTTTCCTAACCCCATATATATTTGGTAATAAGCCACAGATTGCTGAATTGACACTTGGCATGGTGTATTTGGCTTGGGAAAGAAACCGTGATTAACCAACAATCCCTTCTGACCATGCTTGACCTTTATACATTTTAATGGGGTAATTTCCTACCCCAGATGCATATTTTGTGCAATATCTTAAAGTTAATTCATTCTAAAAAAAATTCTTTTTACGACATATTGTGCCCTCCGGTGCCTGTGACTATCCCCAAAGAAAAGCCAGCTTACGTGAATGGTTTGATCTCTATGGATGAAAAACTCCCTAGGGTAACATATTACCCCAGGCGTGAATATGTTTTTCCATGTGGGGTAACAACTTACCTCTAGTCCATGTTAACACAATTTCTATATAAATGACAGCCCTCTAGACCTGTTTGACCTTTGGGTGGATGCACCTGAAAGGTCAGCATTCATTCACACCTCATTCATGTCCACTTCAGGTATCCATGGTAACTAATGGATGGCCATCCTCCACTCTGCTTTTGCAGAAGATGTGGTAATCCTTTTTGCTGATCACGTTGTTTGCAGGCTGCAAAGTCATCAAAACATCCTGCCCTTTGTCAAAAAACCCCCCAACAACCCTTTGTCACATTCACCTCTGCTCTCTTTTCTCATGGCAAAACTCCACCTCACCCACCTCTTTCATAACATACAAGCTAGTTTGCCCTGCCCTCGTTGGAAGTGAGGACAAGGAGCAAAGGGACAGCAAAGAAATAGAACAACATCATACTGCAATACAGAGTACATTATGGAGTCCTCTTTGACAGTAAGGGCTTGACACCCCCCCCCAGCCCTTTTACCTGCTCTCTATAAGCCCCTGCATGTGTGGTTTCCAAATAGCATCCACCCACATTTGGCTTGCCTGCAAAGTGTGGATGCTGGTCTTTGGCTTCTATGCCCAGGAGGAGAGGGTGCTACCTGCGCTGCCATAGGACAGGGCAGAATTGCTTCTGTGACAGCATAGGTGGACAGGTTTGTCTTTGATTGTTATTTATATGCATTCAGCAGTAATTACTTTTTTCTTTTTTTTCTGCAATACAGAATGAGAAGGCAGTGCATATTCAGTGCTGAAGCTCGTCTTGCACAGGTAACTGGGGATAAAATCTTATCCCTAGGCAGTGAGGATGCTGACTGTTTCAGATATGGGAGATTATTCAATGCAAGAAGACCATGAGTCTATGGATGCTTCATCCAGCTCAGATGAGGAGGAGTTGGTGCCACAAGCAGAAGTGATGCCATCACTTCCAGTGGGAAAGGAAAGAGGACCAGCCTGGGGCTGCCATGGAAGACTGAGGAGAGCTACAGCAGAACGTGGAGCAGAACCACTGCCACCACTCCCAGAAAACATTGCAGATGATGACACGTTTAGAGGAAGGAATGGCAGAGCGTGGGAAAAAAGTCCACAGCTAATACATCATTGGAGAACAGCCAAGTCCATGAAAGTGCTGGGCCAGCAAGAGAAAGTAATAAAGACACAGTGGTGGAAATGTTCCACCTGTTTTTCTCACAAGATATCCTGACTGTTATCAGAAGAGAAACAAACAGAGAGGCAGAAAGAAGATTCAGGGAGTGGAAAGATAGTGATCCTGAAAATAGAAAGAAGTGAAGTACCTTCAAAAGAAGTGAACTCCCTTCAGGAGAGATGTGGACAACATGGAGAGGGTCCAGAGGAGGGCCACTCACATGATCAGGGGGCAGCAGGGCAGGCCCTACGAGGAGAGGCTACGGGACCTGAACCTGTTCAGCCTCCAGAAGAGAAGGCTGAGGGGGGACCTGGTGGCCGTCTATAAACTTACTGGGGGTGGGGCAGCAGAGATTGGGAGAGGCCTTGTTCCCCCAGGCACCTCCCGGAGTGACTAGGAATAACAGCCATAAGTTGTTAGAGAGTAGGTTTAGATTAGACATCAGGAGGCACTACTTCACAGTCAGGGCAGCTAGGATCTGGAACCAACTTCCACGGGAAGTGGTGCTGGCTCCTACCTTGGGGGTCTTTAAGAGGAGGCTTAACATTTACCTAGCTGGGGTCATTTGAACCCAGTTTTCTCTCCTGCCCAGGGCTAGGGGTTGGACTAGAAGATCTACAAGGTCCCTTCCAACCCTACATCTATGAGAAAAGCTGGACAAAACAGAGATGAATGCCTACATTGGCCTCCTACTACTGAGTGGTCTATAGCCTGGTGGTCACGAGGCACTGGAGGAGTTGTGGGAGTAATGCACCAGGCATCCTTGCTTCCATGCCACCATGAATTTCAAACAATTCTGTCAAATCATCAACTACCTGAGATTTGACAACACACTGACATATGAGGAAAGGAGAACTGTGGAAAAACTTGCTGCCTTCAGAGATATTTGGACACAATTTGTGGAGCAGCTCAGGAAATGGTATTTCAGGAATATACCTGATGGTTGGTGAGCAGCTCATTGCATTCAGGGGTCTCTGCCCCTTCAGACAGTATATGCCCAGCAACCCTGCCAAATACGGCTTGAAAATTCAGTGCTGCTATGATGCAGCAACATCATTCCCCCTGTCTGGAGACATTTACCTGGGCAAGTAACCAGAAGCTCCATGCCAAGGTAATCTTGGTCCCCAGGTTGTTGAAAAACTGGTTCATCCCTGGTACAAGATGAGAAGGAATATTGTGGGTGACAATTTCTTTACAAGTACTGACTTAGCAG